TGTTTACTAAAAACAGAAAAATAAGCCGGACATTGTGGCACACACCTGTAGTCCCAGCTACTGGGGAGGTTGAGGCAGGAGGATGGCTTGAATCCAGGAGTTTGAGGTTGCAGTGAGCTATGATGATGCAGCTGCACTCTACCAGGCAACAGTGAGACTTTGTCTCAAAAAAAAAAAAAAAAATCAACTGTTAGTCTTATTGTTGTTCCCTTTTATCTGATGAGTTTTCTCGTGCCACTTTTGATAATTTCTCTTTGACTTTCAGTAGCTTTGCTATGATGTAACCAGATGTGGATATTTTTTGTGTTTATCCAATTTGGAATTCATTGTTTTTCTTGGATGTATAATTTAATGTTTGTTGTTGTTATTTTAATCAAATAGGAAAGTTTGGGGCCATTATATTTTTAATTAAATTTTTTTCCTACTTTTCTCCGTTCTGTGACTCCCTTTACTTGTATTTTGGTTTACTTGATAGCTTTCCACAGGTCTCTGAGACCATTTATTTTTCTCCATTTTTTTTCTTTTGTTTTTCAGATTGTGTAATTGATCTATCTTCAGTGATTCTTTTTTCTGTCAGCTCAGATTTGCTGTTGAACTCCTCTTGAATGATTAATTTCAGAATACAATTTCCATTTAGTTCTTCTTAGTTTTATAAATTCTATTTATTGATATTTTCTATTTGATGAGTAATCATCATACTTTCCTTTAATTCTTTTTTTTTTTTTTTGAGACAGAGTCTGGCTCTGTTGCCTGTGCTAGAGTGCCTGGCATCAGCCTAGCTCACAGCAACCTCAAACTCCTGGGCTCAAGCAAACCTTTTGCCTCAGCCTCCTGAGTAGCTGGGACTATAGGCATGTACCACTATGCCTGGCTAATTTTTTAGTTGTCCAGATAATTTCTTTCTATTTTTGGTAGAGACGGGGTCTTGCTCTTGTTCAGGCTGGTTTTGAACTCCTGATCTTGAGCGATCCTCCTGCCTCAGCCTCCCGGAGTGCTAGGATTACAGGCATGAGCCACCACGCCAGGCCCTTTAATTCTTTAAGTATGGTTTTCTTCAGTTCTTTTAATATTCATAATAGCTGCTTTGAAATATTTGCTGATTCCAACATTTGGGCCTCCTCAGACACAAAATGTATTGTCTCCTACTTTTTCTTCCCATAAATGGAACATACTTTATTGTTTCTTTGTATGTTTCATGATTTTTTGTTGTTGAAAACTACATATTTTAGATAATATATTGTAGCAACTCCTAATTCATATTTCCCCCTACTAGGAGGGGTCATTGTTGCTGGGATTTTTCCATTTAGTGACTTGCTTAAACTCTACTATAGAGTCTCTCTCCTTGTAGTGTGTGATTGCTGTTGTCTGTGGTCATATTTTTAAATTCTTCTTTTAAATTTTAAACTTGGCTTCCTAAAAGTTACCTCTGGGTTGGCATTAATTAGTGGTTGCCCAATTTTTGGTAGGGGGTTATGCTTACACCTTTGGCCAGGAAGGCTTCCACCCTTTGCTGATGGATCTATATATGGTTTGGAGAATGCATTCAAAGTTCAGGCAATTTCCAATTCTGCCCTAGCTTTTAGTTTGGTATATTCAGGGCCTTATAGTCACCTAGGGTCAGTAGATAAGAAGACCTTCTCTAGTTTCTCCTTAGCAAATGTAAAGCCTTACAGACCACTAGGGATCTCATGAAAGTTGATTAAGACCCATGGTTGTTTTGTTCCCTAGAAATACCTTTTAAATTTCTGGTTTGTGTGCAGGTCTGTTGCCTGCCCCAATTATAGTACTATGACCTCAGACTAGCTACAGTAGTGGCCTTCCTGGATTATTTGCCATTGTTCCCCAGATTGTCTCACTGTTGTTTTTGACAATGACTCTGGGCATGAGATTTTCTATGCTCAGCTTCAAACAAATCAGCCCACTCTGGTACAGTAGTCCTTTTTGGCCTGGGCTAGCCTGCCCTGGTAGAATTAACCCCGGGGAGCTGGGGGTTGGGCAATAAGGGCAGTCCTAGGCTAAAATGCCAAACACTCTCTGTTTTTAATATGGTTCAGTAGTTTTTCTTTTTCTTTTTTTTGAGACAGCGTCTTACTCTATTGTCCAGGCTAGAGTGCCGTGGCATCAGCCTAGCTCACAGCAACCTCAAACTCCTGGGCTCAAGCAATCCTTCTGCCTCAGCCTCCCGAGTAGCTGGGACTACAGGCATGCGCAACCATGCCTGGTTAATTTTTTCTATATATATTTTTAGTTGGCCAATTAAATTCTTTCTATTTATAGTAGAGACAGGGTCTTGCTCTTGTTCAGGCTGGTTGTGAACTCCTGACCTTGAGCGATCCTCCTGCCTCAGCCTCCCAGAGTGCTAGGATTACAGGCACTGTGACAGCCCAGTAATTTTTCTTGAATGAATATTTCTCACTTTGGTCAATTTTCAGAGACACGTAATGGTTGTTTTTTGACCATTTTTATCCAGTTTTATTTTTGCTTTTGGGGGAGAGGGTTTGCTGAGTACTTTGGCTATTCCAGAACTTCTGCCTTCTTCTATTAGCCTTGGCATTTTTATTTCTTTTTAACTGTTAAAATTTCCCAGCTAGACCATAACCTCTTTTTTTTTATTTTTTTGAGACAGAGTCTCACTCTGTTGTCTGGGCTAGAGTGCCATGGCATCAGCCTAGCTCACAGCAACCTCAAACTCCTGGGCTCAAGCAATTCTTCTGCTTCAGCCTCCTCAGTAGCTAGGACTACAGGCATGCGCCACCATGCCTGGCTAATTTTATATATATATATATTTCTGGTTGTCCAGCTAATTTCTTTCTATTTTTTTAGTAGAGATGGGGTCTTGCTCTTGCTCAGGCTGGTCTAGAACTCCTGAGCTCAAATGATCCTCCTGCCTCGGCCTCCCAGAGTGCTAGGATGACAGGTGTGAACCACCACGCCTGGCCACCATAACCTTTTTTGGGCAGATACTGTCTTTCTCTCTCCCCTACAGTATCTATCCCAGAAGGCATTAAACCTTTAGGCTTTAATTTCTTTATCTATCAAATGAAATTTATAATTTTTTCATTGCGTCAAAGGATCAAAGGAGATAATGGTTAAAATCTCATTGTAAACTATAAAGCACTATGTAAATGAAAAAAAATCTTTGAAAATTCCAAGGTAGTTTGCAAACTAAAACACAGATTTTAAACACTGCAGCCTGTTGTACAAATGGTACTTTCAAATATTCATCTTTAATCTCTGAGCTTTTCTTCTTATCATTTTATGGTGATAGATTTCGCTGCTGTTTTGAAAGAAATAGTTCGGGTGTTTTGAGGGCAGCTAGTGAGCCATTTGCAGAACAGTGGGAAGAAGGCTGGGAGTGAAAACCAGCTTCACCAGGAGGGAAGTCATTAGCACCTCTGTTTTCTCTCACACACATCATGCCACTGCTAGGCTTACCACTCCTTATTTTGCCCAATTCGAGTACCCAGTAGAGGTTTCTCTGGGCATTGGAAGTAGATGCTGGAGAGAAACCTTCTGTGTCGTTCTCATATCAGCACTACTGTCACATCATCATTGTTTACATCTGCATGCCACTTTACAGTTTGTGATCTCTGTTAATTCTCTCAGTACCCTGTGGGGAGAATGTTTAGAGGGAGCGTGTAACTTTTTTGATGACTCTGGCTGTGAGAACATTGTTTCCTTAAATTGAACTGAAATATATATACTTCCTTTAACTTTCGTCTTCAAGTTGTTCTAGCTTTAGTTTGTCAACTGATGGTAGTTTGATCTCGCTTGTTGCTTTGGGGTGGTTTGCCAGGGCTGCACATTGGGTACATTTCAGGTAGTTCTGTCCTCTGAAATTGACCAGTGGCATTTTTCCTTTTGCCTGTCTGATGGCCTTAGCTTCTCCTTGGGAACCCACCTTTTCTCCACCTCTCATTCCAGAACCTTGGACAGACTAATTAATCACAGAGCAGTTGTCATTAAGCCAGCTGTTCACTGCCTGCCTTCAATATTTGACTTGTTTCCTATACTAAAGTGCTACAGGAGAAGTTAATGACCTAAAAAATTGCCCATCTATCATGTAAACCTAGTTAAGAGGGAATTGTTGGATTTTTATGAAGTGTAAATAATATATTTGGAGACGTTTTCAAACACGTGTCAGCCTATGTGTAAGAAATGGCTTCCTAAACAAGGTGGGACAAATTGGCTGGCTCATAGAGCTTAATGACATATTTTCCATTAATCAGAATGGAGAATGTGCTTCATTAAGATAATTAAGAGAGCACACGTGCAGGTGATACTTATTGCACACAAATTTCCAAGTTTATTGCTTTCCCTTGAGTAAATTGAGAGAGAAATCCTGGCAGTGTTTCCTTGTTTGCATTAAAATGATCAATAGCAACAAATTTCTAGTTTTGTTTTTAAGCTACTAGTAACTACTATCTTGTCCTCTGTAGGTGCAAGGAGCAGGTGAGATATTTACTGCTCTTCCTTCCAGCAGTCTGTATGCTCATCACTAGGCTCCTGGGCGCCACCAGTAAACTGTAGAATTAGAAAGGACCTCAGAGATCTCAAATTAATTCATTTTATATCTGAACACTGAAGTCCAGAGAGCGGAAAGTGACTTGGCCAGTGCCACACAGTATGCTAGAGATGTCTGTGGGATAATGAGACTAATACTAAACTGAGAACCAACATGCCTGGGTTGACATTAGGCAAGTTATATAACTTCTCTGCTCCACAGTATCTTCATCTATAAAATGGGGAAAGTATTTAGCATAGGGCCAAGTACAAACAAATGGGCTTTTTGTTTAGTCCTTTTTCTACTGTACCATTATATACCATTATATACCTGCTTAAAGGTATATAATGATTATAGAGGAGAAGGATTATAGAGGAGAATGATTATAGAGGAATTATAATGATTATATAAAGATTATAGAGGAGAAGCTGATGTCAGGGAGAATGGGCAATTAATAACCAATGCTATTTTCTTTGTTTTTTCTTTTTTTCTGTAGGATCCTCAGTCTTCCACAATGAACCCTGTTTACAGCCCCGTGCAGCCTGGGGCTCCTTATGGCAACCCTAAGAACATGGCCTACACGGGTGAGTGATGTGAGAATAGCTCTCGTTTTGAGAAATGGTGGTTAAGGATGTTATCAAATAACTTGCTGAATGACTTTTCATGTATGAAACACCAAAAGGACACTTTTGGAGATGTGTATTATACTTCCAAAAGTCCTAGTAAAGCTTGAGAACTTGGAAAAGATAGTTTGAGGAACAGCAAGAGTTGGAAATGACATTTTTGAGACTAAGGATCATTGAATTTTTAACTAGTGGGAAGGAAAGGAGGTAACATTTATTTATTGAGTACTTACCATGGGCATGGCCTGTGCTGGTCGCTTTCACATACGTTATTTCACTTTATCCTTAAAGCAGTTCTACACAGTATAGCTTATTATCACCATTTCATAGATGAGAAAATCATAGTAGTCACAAAGCAAAACAGACTTAGATATTTGAACCCAGGTCTGATGATTCTGAAGGCTAATCTCTTTTCTGAGCTGCATACCAAGCTGTTTTTTACTTCTACTTTTATGTATGTTGGCATTCTGTCTGGAATGCCATTGTCCCCTGGCAACTTTACCTTTTTCCTTAAGAACGCAACTCTGAACTCAGTGCTTTTCCAGAAAGCATTCTTTCCCTTACTTGACTTTAGGCAAGTTTTCTAATGTTTTAGCACCTGGGGTTCTCATGTATAAAATGAGGACAGTAGTGTTATTTCATTTCATAGAGCAGTTGTAAAAATTATGTGAGCTAGTGTAAGTTACTGGGCAAATAATACCTGGCACAAAGTGAGTGCTTAATAATGGTTATTATTATTTACAAATAAATAAAGGTGGATAGCATGGATGGCAATGGAAGTGAATGAGAAAAGTATGTAAGTTGCCTGGCATGGTGCTTAACATTAACACATCATAAGCCCTCAAAAATATTAACGAATATAAATCAAGGTGGAGGTAATAGTATAAATAAACACATAGAGGTTAAGAAGGTATGGTCAATTCTTGGCTATACTGACTATAGGCAACACTTGAGCCTCACTGGAGTAAAGAGTAGAAGAGGGGAGAAGTGGGAAAGGAGATTCAAAAAGTAGATTAAAAGTCTTGGTGGCAGGACTAGGGGTAAGGGGATGGGAGAGTTTTGCCCCCAAAGAGAGTCATTGGCAGTGAGTGGAAGATGTGGAATGTACCAGTTTCTTCTTAATAATTCCTCGTTGTGTACTTTACTATGTGTGCTGAATAGACTCCTAAGACTGCAAGTGGAGAGATCTCAGGGACCCCATTGTCTGGTTGTTTCCAAACTTTGTTCTACAAGAACATTAGGAAGAGTGTTTCAGAGAGTCCTCAAATATTTGATTTGAGTTTTCAAAAATTGAGAACTGTTTTTATAAAACACACATACAGGTAAGAGGATCAGTGTGTTAACTTAAGCTTCTAAGAATGCATGTTAATTAAAAAACAAACAAACTGCTACTGTCAGGTTTCAGTCTAGTTTCTTGATGTGCTCATGGCTGAAGGAAGAATGACCAGACAGACCAAAGTATGGCAAACACAAAAATGAAGTTTATTGAGGAGAGAAAGATAGGATTATAGAATAAGAGCATGATATAGGTTTACAGAGTGTGATACATATGCCACAGATGACAGCTGGACTCATTGTGGCAGTGGAGGGAGAACAAAAGGAAGGGCAAAAAAAGGGGCTGGTTATGGTCTACATCTTATTTTATAGTGCCCTGATTGGGACCTCCCTAGTGTTTCAGAGGTCACCATAGAACCAATTTGATTGGACAGTTGGGAGTTGCATGACCTGTCTTGCTACGTATGTGGGTTGTTCTTTGACAATTTCCAGACTATAGTACCTGTGCTGTTTAGCCCTTGGGCTAGAGAGTCCTCTGCATTCTTTTGCAGTTGGCACACTGAGTTATGATTGGCAGATTCATAGGGTATTCCCTCCTCCCCACAGGTATGGCAGTCTCTTAGGGTGGGGCAGGACCAAAATGGGGTCCCGGGGCCCAGGCTTGTTTTTCTTCCCAAGTGGGGCCATTGCACCAAGGCAACAGTACCCAATTTCATCCCTAGGAGATCTGGAATCCCTCTCTAACTATCTAAACTATTTACATCTGCTTATGGTTTTAAATCAGGATTTTCTCAATGCCATGCAACTAAATTAACATTCAGAAATATAGTGCTTCCCATCTCTTTGAATGAGGAAATAAAAGGAAAAAACCCAAAGGAATCAAAGAAATAAAAATTTAAAAAACAAAGAAAACATAAGAAATATATTAGAAGTTGAGCCTGATTTAGCTGTAGCTGTTATCTCTAACTCTCAGGTTCATGTTTGTGTTTATCATAACAGCTTCATTATTCTTATTATTTAACCTTAAAAATAAATATTTTCTGTTTGGACTTCTATCATACATTTATTCTAATAAAGTTAATTTCTAGTAACAAAGACCCATGGAGCAGTACCTCATAACTTCTATCATACATTTATTCTAATAAAGTTAATTTCTAGTAACAAAGACCCATGGAGCAGTACCTCATACCTTATTAACTCTGGGAACTTGTTGCTTTTCCCCTTCCCAGTTCAGGGTGTTCAGCAATCTAAGTTCCTTTCCCAGAGGGGACTGAACTGCTTTGGCAGACAGAGCCCAGAGGAATCCTGCCTGGGTTTGGTTTCCTATTTGCTGTGATCTTGGCTGCTTTCATTCTCAATGAATTGCTAAACTAGAGAAGGAAGGGAACAGTTGCATTTAGTTGATTTGCACAAAGAAGATTAGGCAGTGTGATATATTAGAGAAGGAACAGACCTTGTTTCTGTTCAGCACATAGTAGAACTTCGTAATGTGTTTTGATTGAATGAATAATAACCAAGTTTAAATCCAGCTCTGTCTAATAATGGCTGGGTGACTTTGAACAACTTGCCTAACTTCCCTAAACTTAATTTCTTTGATAAACTGGAATAATATTATCTATTTCATAGAACAGTTAGAATTAAATGAGATAATTTGTACTTCTCTAGAGGAAGGGAGGATCTTTTTTGTTTCTACTAATCACCAAGGAATATTATCAGCCTAGAACTGTGTTTTAAGTTAATTTCCTTGCTAGAGATTCTAGGACCACACAAGTGGTATAAATTCTACACAAATAGTTTAAATTCAGACTTCACACAGATCAATCTTTCACATTTGTAGGGAGACGTTTTCTTTTTTAACCCAAGTTTCTCTGTTGTATCTCTGTACTTCTGGTTAGATTTTTTTTTTTTTCAATTGACGGTAAGACTTCTCTAAGATACCAGCTTGATACAGGGAAATTTGAGGTCTAGCTCTTGGCCTCTCCAGTGCCTACAGCCTATCTCCTACTCCTGATGGCTGTAAAAAGCAAGATTCCCTGATCTTTAGTTTCCCCTTCATTTTTTGACCACTAGAGATTTTCTTTTCTTTCTTAAAATCTCAACCCTGCCTATGAGTGAGATGTTTGTTACACTTTATCCAGCTTTTCTAGATGTTGTGCAATAGGCAGATTTTCATGTTATCTTTTCTTTTATATTGATAGAAATGGAAGATCCATTTATCCAAGTGAGATAAGTTGTAAACAAATGCCAAATGTAGTGTATTAAACATTTGTTATTATTGTTAGTAGCAGTACTAGTTATGTTAAACAGTATTGATTACCATTCGGTAAGAGCATGCTAGGTACTATATATATTAATTATAATCTTATTAATCATAAATCTTATAATACTCTTCTATTATAGATAAAGATACTATGGCAGTTTAATTCAGGTCATGTGACTTGGCCAATGTACATAGCTTATAAGGGATGAGGAAAGATTTGAACTTGGGTCTTTTTTTCATTCTTTCCTTTTTTTTTTTTTCTGAGACAGAATCTTGCTCTCTTGCCCAGGCTAGAGTGCCGTGGCATCAGCCTAGCTCACAGCAACCTCAAATTCCTGGGCTTAAGGGATCCTCCTGCCTCAGCCTCCTGAGTAGCTGGGACTACAGGTGTGCATTATGACTGCCCAGATAATTTTTTCTATTTTTAGTAGCAATAGGACCTCACTTTTTCTCAGGCTGGTCTTGAACTGAGCTCAACTGATCCTGGTGCCTCAGCCTTCCAGAGTGCTAGGGTTACAGGCACTAGCCATGACACCTGGCCTGAACTCAGGTTTTTATGATTTCAGAATATATGTGCTTTCTGTTATAGCAAGCCTAATTTGTCTTAGAATATGTGCTCTTTTCACTGTTCACAGTGATAAACTAGGAAAAGCATTGTCTTTTCAGTTTTTAAGACTAGGGAGCCTTCCCTTTGAAGAGCTAGAAGCCTGTTCCTGCCCAGCAGTTTATGGTAGGTTCAGTGGGGCTAAGTGGAAGGGATCAAGTCATTTTTAATATAGTTTGCCTCAGAGGCAATGGGATAGTGGCCAGAGGGAACAGAGGGATCAGAAACACTGCTGATTTAAAATTCTCTTAGAAATCTTAAGATGGGAAATAAAATATAGCTTTGCAATACAGTATATTGTAGTAAGCAGCTGTCTTCTAGCCAATTGAAGGTGTTCTTTCTCTCTCTGTCCTTTTTAAAGCTACTTTACTGAGTACTTACTGTGTGCTGAAAACTGAGCTCAGTATTTTACAGATAATATCTATCTTTACACTTGCAACAATCCTATGACATGATTATAACTAGCTTCTTGTACAGCTTGGAAAAGAGAATTTAGAGGATGTTATATGCCATATACTTTAAAATGCTTAAGCATAGGCTGGGTGCAGTGGCTCACGCCTGTAATCCTAGCACTCTGGGAGGCCGTGGCAGGAGGATCGCTTGAGGCCAGGAGTTTGAGACCAGCCTGAGCAAGAGCAAGACCCTGTCTCTACTAAAAAATAGAAGAAAAAAATTAGCCGGGCAACTAAAAATAGAAAAAATTAGCTGGGTGTGGTGGCAAGCACCTGTAGTCCCAGCTACTTGGGAGACTGAGGCAGGAGGATTGCTTGAGTCCAGGAGTTTGAGGTTGCTGTGAGCTAGGCCGATGACATGGCACTCTAG